AAATGGTTCACAATTGTGGGTAGTTACATTATATTTATTATTTAAGGTTAAGATTCAAAGTTTTTAGAATTAGTTTTTAAATATTATGTTTTTTAAATTTTTGACAAAATGTATAATGTTGACTAGTGTATTAAGTTGTGGTCATCTTTTTTACAATATGAAGAATGAGAATACTGTGAATTTTAAGAATGCTAAAATAGTCATGTATTAAAAAAAGTATTCTAAAAACTTGATTTAAAGACAATTGATAATAGTTAATATAAAGACATAGCAAGGCTGTGTATAAGTTTCTAATATATTAAAATTAAAATATTTATTCATGTTTTTTTTCATTTTTAAAAATATTGTATTACAAGAATGAGGTATTTAAAATTTTATCATATTAATTTGTTGTAAAATAAAGATATTTTTTCAGTTTAAAAACATTTCTTTATTCATTAGTCTCTTGTTTGTTAATGAATTTGAAAAAAACAAATTCCTAAGTTACTAAGGCGTTTATAACTCTTTGATTTACATATTTTTTCTACTCCTAACCATGCTTTATATGGCTAGTGATTGCAATTACAATTTGCTTACCTCAAAAAGCAGCACAAACACAGCAAAAGTCTCTATCGGTGTTTTTTTTAAAGTTTAAAACTACTTGATGTACTTGGGAAATTCTAATCAGTTAGATATTATAATATTTGTTAAAAAAACATCAAAAGATAGTTATGCATATTTGAAATAAAAAGAAACAATACCCAAACATATAGCAAGTGTTTTAGTACAAAAGTTGTTTAAAAATACCTATTTTTTGGATATTTTCCTGTTAAAATTTTAACTTTTGTTCTTGAGTATTTTTTTTTTAGTCATACTATTTTTGTTAGTTATAAAAAACAATTTGGGTACTCATGTGTGTGTTTTTATTAACTGGTTATCCAAGAATAATGCTAACAAATAAGTAAATTTATGAATTTAGATTTTGTTATGAGATTACTTTTGTTCATTTTATTTAAATTTTTGAGTTTTATTTTTTAATTTAAATATACTTTAGTTTTATTACATTTCGATCTTGTCAACATCTTGATAATAAGCACACCATTTTTGGAAGGTAGGCTTGTTTTAAAGATTGTGTTTGTTATATGGAATCTACTTAAAGTTTTCTTAACAAGTAAATTGAAGTAATGATCTCACCACAGCCTTTTATACCTTATAGAGTTGTTGGAGGCTTAGATATTCTTAATAAAATTGAATCTATCAAATGTAATGAAGAAGATCGTCCATTGGTTTGTTTTAGTTAATAAGTTTATAAAAGTCTAAATTTTTTTTAGTATTTTTTTCAATCTTGTTTTTTCCTAAATAAATTATTAATTGTTGGAGGTTTAGATATTCTTAGTAAAACTGAATCTATCAAATGTAATGAAGAAAATCAGCCATAAGTTTGTTTTAGTTAATAAGTTTATAAAAATCTAAAATTTAATAAATTTTTTTTTTTATTTTTTCCTAAATAAGTTATAAATACTAAATAAATTAAATTCTTATTATTTCTTTTTTTTATTTATTTAGTTTAGTTTATTACTATTATTATTATTATTATTATTATTATTATTATGGTTATATAAATATGGTCATATACATATATATATATATATATATATATATATATATATATATATATATATATATATATATATATATATATATATATATATATATATATATATATAATTGAGGTCGGCAATAATTTGCCTACCTTAATCATTTAGAGATTAGCATCAGGTGGGCAAAAATAATTTGATACAAACGTTTTACAACAAAACATCAAAATGAGGTCGGCATTGCCGAATGCTGACCCTAATTCCGAGGGTTGTTTATATATATATATATATATATATATATATATATATATATATATACTTGCAGTGGGGTGCTGCTACATCGACTGTAGGTTTGGGATGGGGCAGCAATCTTTTCATTCATTATTCTTTGTTTTCTTCTTCTTTTTCTAAAAAAGCTGTATCGATTTAGATAAGCAAAAAAAGTGAGCAAATCCTCATGTAAATATGCTATAGTAGATATTATTGCTTGTCCCCTTAAAAAAGGCATTTTAAGATGTTCAGTTAGTCACTGTGAATTTATTTTGTCTAAAATCAAGAGACCCTTGATTAAAGCTGGCTTAGATGTATTAACTGATTTAAGTTTAGTTAAAAAAATTTTAATATGCATAAGTCCAATTTCAACTCTAAAAAAATACAAAAAGAAGATCTATAGGTGATTTGATTAAACTAAATGAGTTTAAGGTTGAAATAAAAAAACTTTTTTGGGCTCATAATTCTAATCTTAAAAATATGATCAGTAAAGATAGAAAAAAGATTGATAAAAGACATGATTGAAGATTTAAAATTTCTGGTAGACTAAGAGGGTGAAAGAAAGATTGTTATTAGTTCAGAGGATATTAAGTATTAAAAAAAAAGGAGTCATTTCTTTTAGTTAAATAATTTAGCTCTGGTTTAACCTCTGTTAATTTTTTCTTTTTTCACTAATTCTAAATTTAAAAACTAAAACTAAAATTTTTCTGTAAATTAAGCAAAAGAAAATATCAGGAAGAAAAGTTATTCACGTCCTAAGAGTTTGGTAAATGATATACTCAACAGCGAACTTATAGACACAGTTCTAAGTGAGGACTTTTCAATTGAATCTGATTTTGATCCAAGTGATTGGTTGATATAATTGAAGTTTCTGAAAACCTAGATACAGTAACTGCATAAATTTCAAAAGATTTTTATACTGGTAAAGTATCACTTACTGCTAAAGCTTGTGATATATTACCAAATGTTTTAGAGAAGGTAACAAATTTAATTCTATACCAATCAAGTGTTGATCTTAAAAAAGTTAAAAGCACCCACTCTACTGCTTATAGGAAGAAAAAAAAAATGAAAACATGTCAATTATTACAAAAGATAATATTAAGGTAGCCATTGATGCATCTCCATATCGATGTATCATATAGGAATTGCCATCAAATTCTTCATTCATATTGGTATTTATAAAACAATTTTTTTTTTTTTATTTATTTTATTATATATATATATTTTTAATTTATTTTTATTGTTATTATTGTTGTGGGTGTATAGCCTGTCTTATTTATTTTCAAATATTCCTCTATTAATCTTTATTTTTGTCTTGACAACTGTCAAAATATGCTTTGTCTAATAGATAATTCTCCTTTATTCTAATGTACTTCATTTCTTCCCTCAGGCGTTCACTGCTCGTGTGTGACCATTCGGCGAATTTTATATGCCAAAGTTTTTAAATAATATTAGGCCTAGCCCGTAAGGGTTAGTGTTACGGTCATCGAGCACGACTATTTTCCTAATCGCAATTACTGTTACCGCAAAGAGGAAATTTGTCTGTGGAAGATGCTTGGGCTAGCTTTTTAGTCATAAGTCAGTTCTAAATCCATGCATAGGTGTTTAATCCATCATGGTTTTCTGGATTATGGCTGGGCTGGCTTGGTTTAGTTCAGAGATAAATCTTTTACGCTGGTTACTAACAATACAAGACTCTACTGCACGACATAAACAGCACAGACTTATACATTACACCTATAAACCCTTATGCACATACAGCCTGTTTACATCGTTTGCATGCTTTTTGTTCTTTCATAGATAAACTATCTTTGTTTGAACTCATCCTTATTTAAATAATATTTTCTTTTAATAGATAATATGTGGTTGAAATGTTGATATAGATTTGTATGTTATCTATACGTGTTTATCATGTGTGATTGAATTTTTCATTTAAGGATTCATATATATATATATATATATATATATATATATATATATATATATATATATATATATATATATATATATATATATTATATATATATATATATATATATATATATATATAAATATAAGAGCGATTCTTATAAACTAGCGGCTTTCGACATGTTTTTATGATGTATGTTTTTCCCTGTTATTTTGTTATGGTCTCAAAATTACATTTAATTTGGACCGTAGAGAAAACTTTACTTTCGGAAATTTCGATTTAGATATGGTCTCAAAATTACTTTTAGTTCGGACCGTTAAGGAAATATTACTTTTCGGAAATTTTGATTTAGATATGGTCTCAAAGTTTTTTTTAGTTTGGACCGTAGAAAAAACTTCACTTTTTAAAAAAAAATTTTTTCTGCTTTGTTCATCATTTTTACATTACGACTTATATCGTTGTTATATTATCCACGGCTAGTTTTTTTAACCACTCACTTGGCTTAAAATTATCTGGTTTTATTGCAATATTTAGTTAGTCTTGTTGCAGTGTTTGTTGATATATTATTTATCTCCTGATTTTCATATTATTACTGTTTGTTGCATTCATTGCTCAGCTTTGTTTTAATTTTCACATGCACATTTTTCATCTTAATTATTATTCAGAGAATATTTTTATATCCTTCATTAAATGTTTACATATATGCTGCTTCATTTTTAAGGTTTTTGTGCAACCTTCTTTTTCGCTATCATATATTATTCAATTATTGTTATGATTTTGGGTTTCGCAGGCTGCTCATTTTTCTACACTTTTGATTGGTTGTCATATATATATAAGAATAAGGTATCTATGACAGCGTTAGAGTTTATTAAGGCTATTGTTGTTTTGTTGATTAAAAAAAATTTTTTTAATGAGGTTTACTGCTTTCTGATAATAATACCTATTTGGTTTTATTTCTTAAAATAAATTTAAAGTTCTAAGTTTAGCAAAACCTTGTTTGAGGTAAACAAAGGAAAAGTATTAAAGAGAGGTAGAATGGCTGTTTTAGTTAACATTAATGGAGAGACTTAAAAACTTGGAGTACCTCCGCTAGTGTCATCTAATTGTGAAGATTTTTAGGTGTAATGAATTTAATTAAGTTTCAACTTTTGTCAAAAACTAGAAGAATATGCTTTGATACAAAGTCAAACTGGGACAAATATAGGATCAGTTTCCAGAATATCTAAAGAACTGGATAAGTATCTTCTCCAAATAGACTGTAGACATAGTGTGACTGAATTAAGAATGCTTCACTTTTCGAAATTAGTGACCCATGATGAAACTAATAGACCTAATAATCTTCTTTTCAAAAAGCTGAAAAATATTTTTGAAGAACCTAATTTTAATTATAATCCAGTTCAACTGTTACAATTTGATTGGAATAAGGTAAAAAGCTGTCTTTTAAAAAAGGTACTAATAAGTCATTGACATTTTACAGAGCTGATATTGGTAATCCAGGAGTTTTAAGAGATGATAGAAGTGAACTTGCAGAATTAGTTGTCACCTATTTATCCTTTACATGTAAAGTAAGAAAAACTGGTGCTATTCATCATGCAAGATTTTTAGGAAAAATAATTTATTATCTAAAGCTATAAATTCTATCCAATCACTTTGCGTTTGTTCAAGAAAATGACAAACTGAAATTATGCTTATAACAGAAAAAATTAATGTTTGCTTTTTAAGTTTAATATAACAATATTTTTCAGTTTAAACAGCATGTTACCATTATACTGGAAAATTTATTACTGGATTTTTAAATTGTACCAAATGAAAAATATGAATAATTTTGAAACAAAACAATAAGAGGGAACTCCCAATAATGCTTTCTCCACAATTGCAGCATAACAACATTGGCTGGAGGACGATCTGTCAAGTTAAAATACCTGTTTATTTCCAATTGCATGGGATTAATGCCTGACTTAAACAGTGACTGAGTGGACTGGCTTATTTTAGTCCTAAAGAAACATGATTTATTAATTAAAAAGGTTTGAATTTTTATAAAAGTCATTTTTCTCAATTTATTTTAAGTTCTAATTAACTAATCTTTGCTTCAATGCTGTAGTCCGCTTCATCAACTTCATCAACAGTCCTCTTTATCAACATCCTCAAGAATTCCTTGATTCAAGTCCTGGACTGGCCCAACATCAATATCCGTGATCATTGACTTAATTATTTTCTAGTAAGTTGCATTTTCATGTTGGTCAAGTGTTAATATTTTGTAGAATGGGTAGAGAATTGCTTTTAAAGTATGGCGTTTTTTTTTTGGTCTCACAAATTGGGAATCTCTTTTCTAACTATAGAGTTTTGCAAACACTTTTTGGTCTCCTTGTTGTTTGCTGCCTTGTTAAGTTGAAAGTTTAGGTATCCCTCAATGTTGAAAAGTTTGGATATCACATGGATGATGGCAGATTGTTGGTCAGAGGAAAATAATAAAGATATCTCAATAATTTTGTCTAATGTCTATGATCGTGCAAATCTGTCTACTATGGTGGGACAATCTGAAAAAAGAAACCATATTATTTTTTTAAATATTTTTAAATTTTGAATTACAAAGAATTTTGATAATTTTTAAGTTCGAAAAATATAGTATATATAATAAAAAATATATATATAAATTTTATTTATACATATACGAATATATATAAATACAATTATTGTTTATTACACTGAAAATTAAAAAAAAAAAACAAAAATATAATTTAATAATTTACAATCTTATGCAATAGTTTACGAATTGAGCAAAAAATTGCGCATTTTGTGAAATGCGCAATTTATATATATAGTGTGTGTGTGTGTATGTGTGTGATTTATACACCCACCACTCACACACAAACCTAACAGTTTTAAGGCTGTTTATAGATTTTATTATAAATTTTTTTTTAGGAAGAAATTAAAGTTGTAAACATGACCGTTTTTGTAAATCCATTTCAAGAAGTTGATGATCAAGTATGTGTGAACAAATTTATGAGCAAGGGTGTTTGATAGTAAATTTAATGAGCAAAAGGTTTTGATTGTGAATTTACTAGTGATTAGTAGAATTAGTATGAAATATTTATTATTTATTTGTTTACTTTAGCTTAAGCAAGAAGAAGAGAACCAACTTAAAAAGGCTCAAGTAATATTTATTCATATTTTTTTTAAATATATACAAGCTTTACACTTTCAAAATTCTTTATTTGTTTGATATATTTTACATTATTTCTGTTTTATTTTAAATATTTAAATTCTTTCATTTTTTCTGTTTTATTTTTATGTGTTGTTATTTTAGGAAGAGGTTGAACTCCAAAAAATAAGAAAAGTATCTCGTGATGTTGATAACAAGCCAAAAGTATACAGGTCTTCTGGAATTGCAAAATATATTCCCACAGATATAAGGTAGCTTATTTTTTACAAATTTGACAATGTGATGTCATTAGTTCCTCTATGTTATAAGTTGTTGATAAAAAAATATTATTTAATAGCTTGTATTCATTGTTTATCATCATGTTTTGTTTTTATATTTTTTTATGTTCATTATATTTTAATTTAGGTATTTTATCCTAGATTGAGTTTTATTAGATGTATAGCATATCCACGCAAATGTTTGTATTATTTACCTACATTGCATTGCTATGCAAGTATTGCCGTAAAAAATGCAAATTTAAAATGGTTCTTTGAAATTGGTATTTAAGTTAAAATTTAAATACCATATTTTATATAGTGACATATTTTTGAACAAAGTCAAATTAAAAAGTCGAATAATACTTCAAAATATTTCTGTTTAGCTATGGAAAAAAATTTTATGACTGATTATTGAAGTAAATAATCAGGCATTAGCATTTTGTGTTCTAATGTTCTGTACATGTTTAAATTACTCCATTTCTATTACTAAATGTTAAAGAGTTTAAAAGCAGCCAATTATGTAAAATATATAAATGGACAAAACAAAACTACTTTTAAGGGTAAAATTTTACTTTTTTTAATGTTTCTGATTTGGTTGTTGCTCTAATGGGTTTTCATTACATAAAGAACTAAATTTTTTAGTTAAATATTATACCTTTAACCAAATCAAGTAATCTCAGTATTTTGATCTTTAGAAGGTATACATGTTGCCAGAGTAGCTGCAAAGAAAAAAAAACTGGCGAACTACATCTTTTGGCCAATTGTTTCAACATACATTCAAAATTAATAGCACAAGTTTTCACTTAGTGAAATAACGATCATTATTAATTTATAAAAAAGAGGGGCAACTTGGGCACTTATCTAAAGTAACTTGATATCCCCCTTTTTTTAAATATTATTTTTGACAAGAATATACACTTATTTATTTTTGACAAAATGTAAATCAAATTCTATATTTGTTAAAACAGTTTCTAAAATATCAGTGAGTGGCGATTTCAAAGCGGAACAATATTCTGTATAAATCACAACTTGAAGTAAAATCTTTGAAGTTGTTTTGTGAAAAAAGTTGTGTCCAATGATTTTTCAAGTAATGTATATGCATATTACCAAAGTAAAAAATATAGAGGTTCAAAATGAATGAATCATTCTTTCCATTGAATTCGTCTAAAAGCTATTGTTTTTTTTTATTATTTAATATGCACTTAATTGAATAAGCCCAAATTTTATTCAACAAATTTAAAATAAAAAGACGTTTCTTCTGGATAAAGTAAAGCTTACTTGCATTAACATGCATTATATGAAGAATATCAAAAGTTGAATGCACAAAGTGACATAAATTCACATTGAAAGCTGAAAAAGTTTTCGTTTAAAATATTTTAAAAGAGAAAAAATATTAATGGTTACTACGTTGAAAATAATTAAAAAGTTTTTATTTATTTATTTTATTTCAATTTATTTTATTTTTATTTATAAAATAAATATACATAACGCACTTTAAAATGTTATCTAATTCTAATAACTCTTGTTAATATTATAATATCTATAATCCCTATGATGGTCAATAGAATATTTATGTTGTCTATAATAATCTTATTATAATATTTTGGAAATATTAAAATAATTCCAAAATTTTTTTTTTTTTTTTTTTTTGAGTATTTTAATATGCGCCGAACCTTGGCAATAGTTCGGCCGAACAGGCAAAAAATGCAAGTTTTGAAAAATATCATGTTTTTTTAGATTAGACTTCAAATTTAAATCATTTGTACCATATCTGGTGGCTACAGTAAAATAAGTTAATTTTTAATGTAAAATTAAATTATTTATTTTATAAAATTATTATTAATTTTTAAATTCAAACTTCATATATAAATAAGCTCAAGATCGATAAATAAAATTAAATGAGTAAATAAAAAAGTACATATACAGTCCTCTACAACAACCCATCATTCGGACAGTCTTAATATTCTGTTAACCGAACTAACAGTGAAATTTCATTACAAAACTAGCTTCTTTGTATATTAATTCCTCCTCTGTCATTTTTTGGTAGTTCCAAAGAAAGCTGAAGGTTTCTGAAGAAATCTGTATATAATCCAAAGAAAGCTGAAGGTTTCTGAAGAAATCAGAAATTTACGGCGCTAAAAAGAACTGTAAGTCCTACAAAAATATTATCCAATATTATATAAAAAATTTGCTTTTGAAATAAGGATTTCGAGGGAGATTCGCCAACCTCACTCATTTTTTTTTACATTTTTAGGAATTAAAATTTTTAGGAATTAATATTTTGTGCCACACCAATTTCATTTCTAGTTTTTGGAGTAAGATTTAGCTGAAGCAAGTCTAAAAAAAGCCAGCTTTACTCCTGGAAGGTGAGTTATAAATGGTTTGGCACTCTCTATTCAATCTGACCACCTGTTGCCAGATATGTCGTGAAGGGAACAAGAAGATGCATTGCGAACTAGGTAACGCAAAATAAATATTGATTGCTCAACATATATTGAGCAAACCGCATTTACTAAACTCTTATGACCCCTGGTGTGGCGCACTGACTACACCCCCTCTCTAGAGCCTGGTTTTCACTTGGAGTTCAATAACTAATGCTTATATTTAAAATTAGCAATAGTTTCACAAAAAGTTACAATTCAATAAACAGCCCGACTTGATTTTTTTGACGCATTTAATACGTGAAGCTTTAAATATAAATAGCCACGTCACAAAAGTATTTCTGTCTATATATTTTTTTACTTTTATTCAGCAAACGATATGCAGAAGATGACGAAGGTTCAATTGCACCGAAATCAAAGAAAAAGATAAATAGCTCTGACTTCACTGACTTTAGCTCTTGGTAGTGATCAAATGTTAACATATCAAGTGATGTCAACTTTTTTAACAGCAATTCTATGTTTCTTATATTTAATGATTTCACCTCTTGGATATTTACTTTTTAATTAAAAATATATATTTAATTTAAAATGTCAAGTATTTGTGTCAGTTGTTACTGAATGAATGTCAATTTATAATGAAAACCTTTTGAGAAGTATTAAATTGTTTCATCAAAATCATTTTTGAAAAATTGTTATAGTTCATTAGCTTAATATTTTCTTGGACCTTAATTATTATTGAATTCCTTGTCTAAAAAAATTTTCAAATTGATTGAAATTGATTTCCCATTAATAAAAAACAAATAAAGAACAATAGTTATACTAATTATTCATAATAACTTTAAAATAAAATTTGGGTTGTTCGCTTAAGCAAACACGCTCGTTAGCTTTTTGACAAGCTTTGCAGCATATAAAATAAAATATCTCCTTTCAAAAAATATTTTTATCAAAAAGAAATCCTTTTAGCAAAGATCAACTATATTATAAAAAAGAACTTAATAGCAGTATTTAAAACAAGCAATATTATTTGCAGTTTTATTTTAATTTTTGGTTTTACTTTGAATATAAAAATTAAGGTTTGGTTGGAACATTTTAACTTTTTTAAATATTTTGTGTGTGAAAAGCAATCTAAAGTAGCAATAGTTCTTAATGCAGGTTTTTGTTTTATAAGCAGTTAACTTATTACGTTTGTGCACGTCTTTTGGTGATTGAAATGGCAAATTTTCATTAAAACAATTTTTATATATACAGCTTAAATATCACAATATTGCGATAAATAAAACCTGGAACAAATCTTAAATTTTTTTCAAAAAAACTACGTCTACGTTAAGTATACACGTGGTCAAACATTTGGTAACTTAAATTAAACATTTCAATATGCTGTGTTATCCATTATGGTAAAACCAATCCTATGCATAGTTACTTTTTGCAAAATAACCAAGGTATAAATGAAAGCCTAAGAAGCTCTACTAAAGAGCGCGATTTAGGAGTTATTTTTACATAAAACCTCAAGTGGAGCGCACATATTCAATCATTTGTCTGCAAGTCTTTAAAAATTCTTGATATGCTAAAAAAGTCATTCACCATCATTAATGTTCACGATGTGATCTTATATAAATTTTTAAACTAATGCATCGATTTGATATAATTAATAATATATATCAACCAAAATTTATTAACTCATTGTTACGTAGTCATCATTTTAAAAGACGTGAATATGTTCCAAACTGTCTTCCAAGACAAAACCAACTATATTATAGATCAGCAAAATACTGAAATAAACTACCCGAACAAGTAACTTTATACTTAACTGTACTTTCTTTTAAAATTAGATTAAATCACTAGTTGAGGATAAAATTTGGAGCAAATATTTATAAAATTGGTTGTTTATAGTAGGGTGTTTTCCCTGCTCGCTCTATGTATATATTGTATGTATAATTTATGGCTTTAACTATAATAATAATAATAATAATATTTTAAGTTAATCAGGAGTCATTTAGAAATTACTTCAAACAAAAAAAAAAAACTTTTTAGACCTTCCTCATTTCCTTCGTTACAAAATTTAAAACTTTTACCACCTCACTCCCTACCATTGCCATGTCATAAAGAATGTTTTTAGTAAACAAAAATACTTATGTTTTTAGTAAACAAAAAAACACTTTGTTTTTGATTCTAGGTTTTTGATACTAGGTTGCATTGGTTTAAACGTTTAGATATATATTGGAAAAGAGATCTATAGGCATAAATCTTGTCGACTGATAACTGCGAGTCAATAATAGGGTAATAAAGCAATTAAAAATGAAAGAAATCTTTTATTTTTTTAATTATTTTTAGTCAGTTGAGCTACACGGAATGTGCGTGTTCCGTAAACCCAACAACAGCTAGCCGTGCTAGCTCGTGCGAAATTGCACGAAAGGTGATGCGCTGTAGTAATATGGTAGCTGGTCGAGATATGGTAGCTGATCGAGTTTTGCTTTGAAGCGATTGACACTGATAGCATTAACAACTTTAATTGGCGGTGCGTTCTATAGGTGAGCGACGCTGTTATTGAAAAAATTATAGCGAACAAGGCAGTTATTGTCCATTTTACAATAAAAGCGCTTGCGATGACCGTAGGTTGGTGGGATGTTTGGTGGATTGATATGCAAGCTTACTGAGTTAATATTGTTTTTAATTTTGTATTTTTGTATATGGTCTCCGCGTATACGTCTATTTAGTAGAGAGCTGAGGCCGATGCATCTTGTCTTGTAAATGAAGCGATTTATACCGTACGGTATTTTGATAGCCCGATGCTGTATGCGTTCTATGACGTTTATTTCTTTTTCAAGATGCGGGTACCAGGCAGCGACTGCAAACTTAAGATGTGGGCGTATATAGATGGTGTAGAGTTTTTTTTCCATATTTTGATATTTCTGCTGATAAATGTGTTTTCCGAAATTCCAAGGACTTTGTTGCCCTTGGCAGCGGATATTTTTGCTTGTTTTTCATATTTTAAGTCGTTAGAGATTTGAACCCTTATATATCGTTTAGATGCTGACGACTCGAGTTCTGTTCTAGTGACGACGTTAGCGTCGTAATTGTTCATCAAATAAACATGGGGGAAGAGTTGTATTTGCTGAAATGCATACCCTTACACTTTTTGATGTTAATTCCATCAATTAGGTTCAAGTCCAAGTGACAATGCTATCTATATTAGATTGCAGACGAGCTTTATCTTTAGTGGTTTTGACAACGCTCAGAGTTTTAGTATCGTCTGCATACATTTTACAGTATTTTTCGCTCCTGATGTGTTCCGGTAAGTCGTTAACAAATATTATGAACAGCGTAGGATCTAACACTGAACCTTGTGGAGCACCGTTGGTAACTTTTACCCAGGTGAATAACGTGTTACCTAGATGAACACGCTGTGATTGGTTTAAATAGAAAACACTTATCCAGTTCAGAATATTACCTTTAATTCCTTAGGATTCAAGTTTTTGCAGTAATCTTCTGTGGGGGACTTTATCGAAGGCTTCAGCAAAGCCAAGAAAAAAAACGTCTACTGGAAGCTTGGGAGAAACGTTGTAGGTCAGAAAGTCTAATGCTTCCAGCAGATTTGTAACGTAGGCTTTTTTTATTGACGAAGCCGTGTTGACAATTGTCAATAAATTTAAGGGCTACAATGTCCTCCATAATTTTTTCTTTAACCATTTTTTCCATTATTTTACATGGTACAGATGAAGATAGGCCTGTAGTTTTTTGGGTCGAGTCTGGAGCCTTTTTTGAACAGTGACGTCATGTTTGCCAAAAGCCACGTTTTGGAATTACACCTTGATCATCTATTTCTCAAAAATGATTGCATCGGCACATGCTTTAAGCACAAATGGGCCGATACGGTCACTTGATTGATCTGCAAATTCAATTGTGAATACTGACTGGAACTGGCTGTTAAGTAAATTGGATATGGATGCCCGGTCGCTACTTATTTCCCTACATATAAATTATTTTGTTACTGACGGCGTGTTTATTGTTTACATAGACGTATAGATGCCTAGGGTTCCGTTTGTCGTTTACTAAGTTGTGTTCAAAAGCTCTTCAAAATGCAATTCAGGACGAGGTTTCGAGGTAAACTGTACTCTTTGACAAGAGGTACGATTCGTCAATGCGCGTTTTAAAGTACCAAATTTTTTTTCTACGTTTGATTAGTATGAGAAGTTCGTTGGTTGGCCAAGACTGCCTGCGTTTAGTTAGGTTAGAGGTGGCACGCGGGATGAATTCGTCACAGCATTTTTCATAGTTGTTGCATTTGATAGCATTTGTCGGCATATCTGTCTTTAATTTAACTAACCCAATCGACTTGGGAGAGTTTCTCATTTAGTGTAAACACTTTTCCTATATATAAATTTTGAGCTGTTAAAACAAGGAGAGTAGTAGGCGTTTTGGGCCGGTAATGCCAAGTCAGAGTGCACTGGCCTTGTGAGGCGCTACCAAGAGGAGGACTGATATTAATTACTTTTCCTATATATAAATTTCGGTAAGTTTCTTAGGACTTAGAGATGTTTGTGTAAAAGTAGTTTAATAACAGTTTGGAAGCATTGTTTTGTGAAGTAGGAGAAGGCGAGGTATTCATTGTAGGGAAACGGTCAGGAGTTGAATGTTGCGAATGTTGCAAATTCCAACTTATTTAAAATATTCTCTATCCAACTTTAAACTAGTTGTTATTCCAAAAAACCCAAATGTGATTTATAAGTGTTGTGAAGCAAAAGTTAGTCTTGAAAGCTGGCATGAAGTTGAAAGTCTTTGTTCAAATTGATTAAATGCACTTCTGTGCTGTGCATTTGTGACAATTATCAAAAAATTATCAAAAGACAAAAGTGAAGGGTATAAGAATGGTCATTTTAATATTTTTTTTATAGCTAGTACTTTAATTTGGTGTTTAGACAACATTAACATTATAACAAGTTGACATTTTATCATTTAAATCTAATTTCTCAAAACGGCAGTAGTTTGTATAACTTTGCATTATTTCTTGCGTGAGAAACTGAATGCTTTTTTAACTTTGAATTGATTGCTAATATTCATACTTTTGTTTTATTAATATATTAATAAAATAGAGATATGAACCGAATAGCTTTTGTTCCAAATTCGTCTTTATTCTTCGTTAAATTTATAGCCCAGCATAGACTGATGTATTGGTTTGGCAACTAAGTAATTGTGGATTTCACTCATAGATGGTTTTAGTTGAATTTTTAGGTTTGCTAACGCAATCGAAATGTTAAACACATTTGTTATTTGATCGGTTGTGTAGTTTTTGTTTGGCGTCTGTTGAAAAATGAAAAACCAATACGAACATTTTTGTCATATTTTAATTTTTTATTTCCGGAAGAGAAAAGACGCATCATAAACTCACAAAAAGTTATGTGCTGTTTATGGTGACGAAGCTTTAAAAAAACGACAGTGTCAAAATTGGTTTGCCAAATTTCGTTCTGGTAATTTTTCTCTCAAAGATGAAAAACGCTATTATCGTCCATGTGAAGTTGATGACAATCAAATCAAAGCAATAACCAATTCAGATCGTCACAGTACAACACGTGAGATTGAAGAGAAGCTTTATGTACCATATACATGCATTGAAAATTGCTTAAAACAACTTTGCTATGTATGAAAACTCGATATATGGGTTCCTCATGAACTGAAAGAAAATCATTTAATACAACTCATTAACATCTGCAATTTGTTAAAGAAACGTAATGAAAATGGTCCATTTTTAAAACAATTGATAACTGGTAATGAAAAAAATGGGCTGTTTACAATCATGTCAATAGGAAAAGATCGTGGAGCAAGTATGGGGAATCAGCTCGAAAAAGATCAAAAGCTGATATTCATCAAAAGAAAGTTATGTTATCAGTTTGGTAGGATTACAAAAGAAGCGTCTACTTTGAACTTTTACCACCCAACCATACTAACAATTCAAATGTCTACATTGAACAACTAACAAAATTAAACAATGCAGTTGAAAAAAAGCGGCCCGAATTGACAAACTGAAAAGGTGTTGTATTCCATCATGACAACACAAGGCCACACACATTTGGTTACTCGTCAAAAACTATTGGAGCTTGGTTGAAATGTTTTGCCACATCTGCCATATAGTCCTGACCTTGCACCATCTGATTACTTTTTATTTCGATCTTTGACATCATTATCATTATTGAAATTTTTACCATTCAAGGAGTTTTGCAAATTGTACCTGGTTCAGTTTTTTGCTGATAATAACCAGAAGTTTTATGAGCATGGAATTATAATGCTGCCTGATAGATGGCAAAAGATCATTGCTCAAAATGGGCAATACATTACAAAATAAAGTTATTTTGTTCCATGAAAAAATCGTATTTTTTTTTTTTAATATCCGCAATTACTTAGTTGCCAACCCAATAGTAGGTTTATGGCGTAGAGCAATCACAGAACTGTAATCAAGTAACTTTATACTTCATACATATGATTAAAAGAGCTCACTAAAATAACTTCTGCTGGTCTAAATTGGCTTACTAAAATAACTTCTGCTGGTCTTAAAGACAGTTTTTTCAAATTTTTAATTGAAGTAAAACAGTTTTTTATCAGGATAATTTTCATAAAAATCTTTGCATACCTTAATGAGTCTTAAAGAAACAAGATGGAGATGCATTATGTCTTCTACTATGTAAGATGACAATAGACTGGTAATCTGTCAAAATTTAAACCTTTTGTTTTGCAAAGCTTTGTCGACTTGTTAAAAGGTTTAACTGTTCTCAATGCCTTGCATATATATTTACCAGACGCAGAGGCTTAGGGGCTGTTTATATGAGCCGGGCTAGCCCGTTTAGCCGAGCTGGCTCGTTTAAACGAGATCTCGTAAGCTTTAAGATTTACTTATAAAAATTAAACTTGTTTACATGACAAACGGGCTAGCCCGGATAACTGAGATCTCACTTGTGTAGAGTGGGATCCCACCAACGCGAGACAGTTTTTTTCATATTACGCATGCTTTATTTACTTTTTTATAAACTTTAAAAATGTCTGACCAAAATGAAATGCTTGATTTTAATTATAAAGAAAATAATGAAACAAAGAAAGCTTGTGGAAGTTTAAGCGATTATTCTGACAAAGTGGTAATACAAGAATTAAATTCTCAAGAAAATATAAAAGCGAATGATGTCTTTGGAAGTTTAAGCAAACATTCTGACGAATATGAAAATAAAACTAAAAAAGCTTCTGGAAGTTTAAACAAACATTTTAAATAGAGTACAAAAATGGTAAAAGATTTAATAGAGTCTATACATGCATATAAATCCTCAATGACTTTAAAAATTTAGACTTTGACGCTGATAAACAAGCACAGTATTCTTATATTAGAAAGGATATGACAAATAAATATGTCGATGAAAACTTGTTTGATTCAGGATCAGACATTCCAAATTTACCCTTAAATTTTAAACAACTATCTAGTCAAGACCAAGTCGTCCTTAAGCCAGAGTTTTTTCGAAAAAAAAAGGTAATTTCTAGAGGAAAAAAAAGAATCCAGGAAAAAACAAAAGAAATTAGACAAGCATTTTCTAAAGCTGTAGTGTCTGGGTCAAGAAGTGGCAGTGGGAAAATTGTCTTTGAACACTATGATAATCTTGTCTCAATATGGGGTGGTTCAGCCAATAGTAGGCCATTACCATTTGGTGTTTCAAGTTGCGAAAAATTAACTTTAAATAACATTGAAGATGTAATCGATGATCACGAGGATATTTCGGACTGTAGTGAAAATGAAAATGAATTAAAACAAAAAAAAAAGAAAAACATCTCTAGTTCCAAAACTTATTGACAATAAAAGAAAAATGCTTGAAAAAAAACTTTCTGCAGCATAGAGAGATAAACTTTTTTTAAATGAAATGAAAAGTGATGGAGAGCTTCACAAAGATCTAACTAAAGCCATAAAAGAATCCAATGAATCTTTTTCTGATTGCATAAAAGATATTAGTAAATCAATTAGTGACCTAAGCAAGGGTTTGTGTTCCTCTATGGAATTACTTTCCAGAACACTAATCTCCCAACAACAAACATCTGCTATTCAAACTCTTACACCTCAGCATTTTATTTATCAAAACAATAGTGCTTTTCAACCTATTTGGATAAACCTATTTTTTTCGTTTTCATTTATTACCTCAACTTGTATTTTTACTAACTCTTTATCAATGCAGATACTGTGTCGTTCACAAAAGTTATGTAAAATAAAACATGCATAAATTACTGTTGGAATTTTTTCAAGTTTTAAATCCATTTTTTTGGTCAAAATTTTGCAACGTGCTTTAAGTCGACCAAAAGCACATTCTATAGGGTTGCGTGTAGTCCTCAAATATACTGTTAAAAATGACTTCGTCATTTTTCTTGCATGTACTATATTTTTTTATACAATGTGGAAGTAGTGGATATGCAGGATCTCCAATTAGGTAGCATGGAACTTTTATTTTGTTCTTAGTAATAGTTTGAAAGGTTCCTGGAAGTCTTGAACTTCTCAAATTAGTATTAATAGAAGAGTTTGAAAAGACTTTTGCGTCATGCACACTACCAGGCCACATACATTCAACATCCAAATAACTGCCTTTGTAATCACAAACTGCTTGAACCTGTAATGAATAGTGTTGTTTGTAACAAAAATAATCTTGAGAATGATTAGTTGGACAAACAATGGGAATGTGAGTGCCATCAACACAACCAAAGGCTTGAATCATTCCAAACTTTGACTCAAACTCAGATATTTTTTCTCTCATTTGCTGTTTATTTTTTGGTAAATTAACAAACCTTGGTCCTATATACTTTACAATAGCATTACATACTTCAAAAATGACTGCTGAAGTAGTACAAACTGCAATTCCAAAAGTGTTTGCTGTCATGTTCAATGTACCACTGTCTTTTAAATAGTATAGCGTTATAGCAACTTTTTTATCTGGTGTGATTGCTCTTATATTTGGTTCAAGAAGGGAGACAAGTTCAAAAAAGGAATTTTTCCTGTTTTTTTTAGCTAATCTTAATCTTCTTAAAATACGACGTCTAGAACTCAATAAATCAAGAATTATTAGCTGATTAAAATCCCTTTTCTTTTTAATAGCCATTATAAATTGTAAAAGATAAATTTGAATATTAATAACTTGTAAATTGATCATTTTTAAAGTTGTAAAGGTAAGAATTTGTTTATGTAATGGTAAGGAATCCATTTTTCAGCTTTTAATTATTTTAACTGTGCACGTGATGTAAACAAATATTTCATCCCGGTTTAGCGGGCTGGAAAAAATTCATATAAACTTAATAACCATATTTATCTCACCGAAGTGAGACAGCCCGACTAACAGGGCTAGCCCGGCTCATATAAACAGACCCTTAGTTTATGGCAATTCGGTTCACTTTTAATATTAAAAAAGCTTTAATGAATTCTTAATCTTTAATGAATTCTTAATCTTTAATGAATTCTTAATTTAGCAACAATGCTATTTTTGGAGGACTTTTTGTCGTTTACGACTGTCCTCAACAAGGTATCTTACCTGATACTTTTCTTTTTTCTCTTTCATATTCGAGTTGTCACATTAATCCCACCGTTCTCTCGAAGCGTAATAAGTTCTGATTCCACAATTGACAGCTTTTTAGTCAATACATTTTGTTGTGGTTGGAGTAAGCGTTTTAAATGTGATGATAGAATGAAAATAGTTATTTGAAAAACTTGAACCAATTAAGCTAACAAAACTGAATGATGTTTTTCAAAAATTTTAAACTAAAGATGGGATCCAAAATCTCAAATTGCCATTTATTTATCTTGAAACCCCGGTTCATTTTTGATCGAGTTGAAGAAAAAGTTGTATTTATATGTATATATGTATGCATGTATGTATGAATGTATGTATGTATGTATGTATGTATGTATGTATGTATGTATGTATGTATGTATGTATGTATGTATGTATGTATGTATGTATGTATGTATGTATGTATGTATGTATGTATGTATGTATGTATGTATGTATGTATGTATGTATGTATGTATGTATGTATGTATGTATGGGTGTATGGGTGTATGTATGTATGTATGTATGTATGTATGTATGTATGTATGTATGTATGTATGTATGTATGTATGTATGTATGTATGTATGTATGTATGTATGTATGTATGTATGTATGTATGTATGTATGTATGAATGTATGCATACAGGGGTGCACAGAGGCTTCATGATGCCCAGGGTAAACTACTAAAACTTACTGTATGCACCCTCTACCCTTTCAAAACTAAGGTTAGCAGCTTTTTCTTTTAACTCGTTTAAGATTGCATCTCTGGAGTAAAGAATCTTAAATCTTCAATCAATGTTTAATAACGCTTTTGCTTGTTTAAAGAGTTGGGTAAGGACCTGTTCATTTTAAAACAATCTAAATCTTTTTTAAAACAAATTGTAAAAATATATAGCACTGGTTATATAAACTATAGAAAAAAGTTCTATTTACGTAGTTTGTATATTTTTCATATGATTTGATGAACTATTTTTACACTGACGGGACACTTTTTAAAAACAAAAAAATTTGGTCTTCAAATAGAGAGAACCATCTACCATCAAAATTTTCCCAGAAATTTGTAACCAATTAAATTCAATTGAAACAAAAAAAAATCAAAATATAATAACAAAATAAACGGTTTTCATTTCTTTATTGGCCGTTTTCAATTTTTTTATCAGACATTTTGTCCATAAATTTAGAGCTCTAAAAAAATATAAAAATAGTTTAGCTGAAACGTGACAAAATTTAAAGCTTCTTTCTTTTTATTTGCATTTTTAAAGGAATAAACAAAAAAAACAACAACAATTATATTGTAACTTTAAAAAACTTTTTACTAAACTAAAGATACAAACTTAAACGTGATTATTTAAAATCCTTATTTATAAAACTGCAATAATAAATGAGATAAACGCCCAGTGTTAAACCAAAAATGTTTCTTTATACTTTGTACAAATTATTTTTTTATTATTAATTAAATATTTTTTTCTCGAGAATGTCTATTAGTTCATTGTATATTACTAATAGTATTTATATTTACCGTAGCATGAATATTAGATATGGATTTTGACTTGAAATAAATGCTAACCTTTTGTATTTGCGATTTAAACTTAAAGCCATGTATTGTATAAATTATAGGATTTACTGAAGCGTGAAATCCGTCTGGAACCTCAGAAAACGTAATTAAAAACCGTATTATATTTTTATTTTTAATTTTATTTAATCCATAGTGGTCGCTAACAATCCAAACAACGCGACTTGGAAGAACTAGTATTGCAAACGAGGCTAAAATTAAAATCAGCATAGTAAGCGTTCTTCGATTCTTTTTCACACGTGATTTTAGTTGCTCATTATTCAAAACTTTACTTTTTAAAAAAGCTTTTTTCAACCAAACAATCATTATGTAATAAAGAAAACTTAATAATAATATTGGTATGATGTAATAAATAATCAGCAAAGAATAAGAATATACAGTTGGATTGCTATTAGACCATTCTTCTGAACACGTGTTAAATTTGCTTACGTGAAGAAAAATTGCTTGAGGAACAACTAAAAGTAATCCTGTCAAAACATTCATAAGTGCAACTAATAACAATTTAGTTTGATTCCATGCAAGACTAAATGAGTACAAAATGCAAATGTATCTATCCAAAGCAATAATAACTATAAATCCAACTGAAATATTAACACTTGCATGATTTATTGCCCGAAGAAATTTACAAGTATATTTGCTAAAAAGCCAATAACAAGTCCATATTTGATGTACACTCATAATAGTTTGGGTGATTGCAAAAACAATATCAGAAATGGCTAGACCTAAAATTAAATAGCGGAAGCTAGAGAGCTTTTTCCGATTGTATAACCCATAACCAATAACAAGACCATTACCGATCAATGCAAGAATTGATGATAAAAGTCTTGAAATGCCTATTTCCACATTAATATTTACATAGCAAATAACCTCTTCAAAAGACATTACTCTAGTGGTGCTGCTTGCTTCAGCGTTTGACTGATTGTTTTTCGAATCTGAATAAAAATTATTAAACAACAAAGATTTATTATCCTCTCTACATTCAATCCAAAACATCATAGCTAACGGCATTAAAATGGTGCGAAAATCCATTTTTAGTGATTTCTAAAAATAAGCAGCTTTAGTTTGTAAAATTTTACAAACTCGTGCCATTAGCATGGGATCAGCTTGCATATACAGTTGATACAATTTTTATTAAATAGTTTTTTTAGTTAAATTTGGTTAATTGGAAAAAATAACATTTAAATAAAAACGACAAATAATATAAACCTCTGTTAAAAAATAAAATTTCATAATGGTAAAATTTATTTTATATATATATATATATATATATATATATATATATATATATATATATATATATATATATATATATATATATATATATATATATATATATATATATGTATATATATATATATATATATATATATATATATATATATATATATATATATATATATATATATATATATATATGTATATATATATATATATATAAACAGTAATATAGTAATTTAATTTTATGGTATTTAAGTGCTACTTTTTACAAACTTTAGTGTGATCATTTACAATCGTTATGCATAAAACGTTTAAACAGACAGTATTATTATTTAAACAGATAGTATTACTATTTTTATGTCAAACAGACAGTATTATTATTTGAATATCTAATGAAATATTGTATAAATATATTCTTTTTTTATGCATTTTTTATTTTAAACAACTACCCAAGTAGCAAAAAATATCGATATTTATATATATACATATATATATATATATATATATATATATATATATATATATATATATATATATATATATATATATATATATATATATATATATATATATATATATATATATATATATATATATATATATATATATATATATATAATTTAAAAAAATATTTAAAAAGTTTTAACTGTTAAACACTTGCTAGATTTTTTGAACGTCATTTATGTGAGAATGTTTTTTTCATAATGAGATGTAATTTTTACGGTGTCGCATAAACTGAAACTACAAAAACGTCAACCTACTAAATTGATCAACAAAAAGAAACATAACTTTCAGTACTAGTGAGGCCTAAATCGTTTTCAACTGAATATAGAAATTTTCATATTCAACTGATTTGGGGTAATGTAATTTAACCGATTATAGGCAATTTTATTTAAAAATAATGGTCTGTGTTTTTGATTTTTTTTTAATACAATTGAATAAAAAACAAGTTTTTCTAGCAAGCATCAAACCTAATTCCTCTCAATTCTAAAGCCAGCACTTCAACTAATACGCCACGGCTGATCATTTTAGAATCAAGAAAAAATATGCATAATAAATACCGGGAAAAATATAGTTATACAGTCGATCGAAAAAATAATAGGTCAAAGATACAGCAGGTTAAAAAAGTAGTAGGTTAGAAATACAATTGGAAAGAAAAAAATTGATCAAAATCCCAGATGTAAATTTGGAAAATTAAAAGTTGCTGATTGAAAATTAAGTTTGTCACAACCTACGGTTTTCGAAATTTCAAAATTAGGTTGAGTTATAGGCCACCATTTTTACGATTTGAAACATTATATTATGCAATTAAATTAACTATATTCTAGCTGCAGTTTAATAATTTTTTAAAACATACTAAAGAATAATAAAATAGTATAGCAACTTATTATCAAACAAAATTTTTTTTTCAGAAATCATTTTGAAAATCTCAAATCCTCTAAATCAAACTGTGCTAAAGTTTAGACGATTATAACGGAATCAACTTTAGTTTTACAATTAAATGCTCCTCCGTGCTGCTCTCTTCTGAAACTGCTTGGTTAAGGTCAACCAGTATTGTTGCTTTGTATAATGTACAGTAATACCGTATTGAACAAAACAGACAGTATTAGAAATGTCTGATCAAATTGATCAGGAACATACTTTTTTACATAAATTAACCATAAAGTTTGTGTTTCAATAAACACAGATGCGTCATACTATAAAACATAACGTCATATTATAAGAAGTCTTGAGCTATGAAAATATAAGACCAGTTTTCTTATCAACATAGACGCTGTTGGAGGAGCACTTTTAAAATCATTTTTTTTTAATCTCAAAATGTTGTAAAACTACCTGGATTCGTTTTTTAAATAGGTGTTTCAATTATTTTATTCCAAAACAAAATAAATCTATTTATCAGATAGTTAAAAAAACCAAACTTGTTTTTGTTGATAGCAATCACTGGCAACGCATTATAAAAAATATTTTACAAATGAAGTGATAGCTACTTGTAACACACTTGGCCTAAAAAATTTTTATAGTGATGATAAAAGGCAAAAAAATATGTTTACACAACCTATGGAAGAATTGCAAGCAGATGCACAGTGGGTCGGTTACACACAAAATGGTGTCCAAAATTATTTTTTTAAGACCTGCACAAATTTGTTCTTTTTTTTCAAAAAATTCATACGATAAAGTATGTATGTTCAAAATTTCACTTAATTTTGATCTGTAGTTAAAAAAGAGAAACTTTGTTTGTTGCAATGGCGCTCACAAGATTTTTTCCACGGGAAGGGGAGGGGGAATTATTGTAATTTTTTTTATTTTTATAAAAAAAATTGTTGTAATTTTTTCATTATTGTAAAAAAATTTTTGTAATTTTTTTTAAATTGTTGTAATTTTTTTATAAATATAAAAAAATTGTTGTAATTTTTTTATAAATATAAAAAAATTGTTGTAATTTTTTTATTTTTATAAAAAATTGTTTTATATTATAAAAATTTTTTTTTTTATAATATAAAACAACCTTCCCCTCATTTTTTTTTTTTTATTTATAAAAAAAAAAAATGAGGGGAGGGTTGCGTAAGTTGAGCATGTTTTCAGTGTAATGTATTTTGCTTCCAAAAGATTACAATAAGATTATTTTTTTTTTTAGAATAATGATTATTTTATCTTTCCTGTTAAAGAATATAAATGTCATTAAAAAAAATACATTAAAAAAAAAAATCCTTATACCAAAAATTGCGTTTTCTTTAACTCACCCAATCATTTCATCTTAGGAAACTAGTTTCCTAAGATGAGCTTTTTTTAATGAAACTCAAAAAAATTTAAAATGATAAAAAAATAATCACACAAAAAAAATTAAATAAAACTGCATATTCAAGTATCTTAAGTAAAAAGTAATTATCCCAACCATAAAAAAAACAAATCTTTTCAATCTCTAAAAAAGTTAACGATACTATTTTTTGAAAAATTCTTTCGCTCTTGAAATACCAAAATAAAGCTCCGCGCAGAATAACTTTAAAATAAGGCGCTTTTCTTAATAAAAAGCCGCATTTCATCTTGAGCGTATTATCTTGAGCAACTTCATCAAGTACTATCATAATTTAAATAGCATGACAACAGCTTATGTATTATCTCATATAACCCATGGAATTAGCAGTAGATAAGCATAAAATACTGAGGATGTAATAAATTTTTGATAATCTTGTTTCTTTCTGACGTAATTACAAAATATTGAATAATAAAAAATTATAACCGGGATAGTAAATTTTTTTAACAGTAAAACAATTTAAAAATATTAACTATACAACCAAAAAATTAAAATGAATAACACCGTCGAACTAGCATGAATATCCTTAATCAAAAAAGTTCTCAAAAATATCATTAGTCTACCTGTAAAAGAGGTTATACCATCTTAGGAACCTGCTTATCTTACGCAACCTTCCCCTACAATAGTTGCTTTTATTTTTATAAATATTTTTAAAGTTATTTGTAATTTTCAAGTAAAGGTTTTTGCATTTTCCATATTTTTTAATCTAACCATTCGCAACATCTACATTTATATTAAAGTTTTTATTAAATTGGTTAATATTAATGTCATCATCTGATGGGTCAGTCTTTGTTGCTTGTATTTACGTCTAACTTTTTTAGTATAAAAGGTTAGTAGTTTCAATTCGAAAAATATAATTTTTATATGTAGAACTTGTACTTATAGATAGTTAACAAAAATATCTCAAAAGATTCTACCCCAGCCCTAGTGCAAAGGAAATAAGTTTTTAAAATATTTTAATATACTATCTAACTTTAAATTCAAATTTACCATCATGTTCCAAATTTCATTTAGATATCTTCTAGTGTTCGAAAGTTTTTGAACGAGTTTTTACTATCAAAATGAAGTTTTTACCCCCATCAAAATAAAGGGTAAATTTTACATTCTACAAAGATATTTAAATGAAACTTAAAACCTGTGGATAATTTGGAATTAAGTAAAAGATAGTAAATAATTTTTTTTTATCAACTCATTGTTCTTGGATTTGGGCTAGCGATGCACAGTGGGAAATCACATGACCAAAAATCAAAAAGTGACTTGGTTCAACCATTATGTCTGATAGTAGGTTTTGTAACTAATACCTTCACTAAGAATTTTTCAATTTATGAAATCCTAAATGTGACAGGCTCAATTATAGTAGCCTTTTGAAGTTAGTTTTTTAATTTCTTTCGATAAAAAAACTTAAATTGCTGGATTTTAGTAATTATTATTTTTTTAATATATAGATCATTGAAAAATTGAGAATAAATACATAATTGGAAAGGTTATAGTATAGACTGTTAAAAATAAAAAATAAAAATTTTCTTAAAAAAGTAGGAAGTACAACTTTTAGCATTAAAAGTAAAAAATTCATCACAAAAGTAATATATTTTAAATTTGATGAAGAATTAAAAAACTGTTCCAATTTGTACCTTTTCCATATTTTGATATGCAGCTGCAATCATCCGCAATCTTGAGCGCTAAATAATTTTGAAAAATTGATGTTTTTTTAAACAAATAAAAACTTCCTTCGAATAAAAATAATTTTTTTCATTCATTACAAAAATTAAAAATAAAAACTACTTTAAGATGAAAGACCAAAATAAATTTGTTTTCGTGTTGATATTGAATGATTCGAAAGATATAACTGTTGTAACTATAATATAGTTTTCACTATCGCCAAAATGAGGGGGTTGTAAACTTTATATGGTCATAACTATCAGAAAATAAAAGATTATCTCCAATGAAAGCTAAAACTTGTCAATGAATTTAAGTTTAATATAAAACAGCATCAAAAATC